TTGCACTTTGCAACACTTTATTTCATTTTTTACGCAAAATTTAATACAAATTCTTTGACTTTTCAATTCTTCCATTGTAAAAATCGCCGAGCTCAGAAAAACACGTCGAACCTTAGCGACTACCACAGACAAAGTAAACAGTGAATATAGCTGAAAATTTCATCATACTTTAGGGGCATGTATACCAACACAATAAAAAAAAATTTTGACAATCAGACACTCCAGACCCGCGAAATTTAATTATTAGTAATTCCGGGTACTTTTTGAACAGACCACGTATATATATATACCAGATATGTGAATTAATTTGTCAAAATCTGTTCATATGTGCATCTTATATTATTTTAATTTTTGGCACATCTTAGTTGCTTTTCGGCGATAATAATGTAGACAATTCATTCTTCTTAGTCATAATCATGAATTTATTATACATATTCCAATATTATCTAGGCTCATAAGTAAATTAAAATTTTTGGCTTCATTTTCATTTGTTCTCAATGCCAAATAATGTCTAAAATATTTTCAATGTCAATCAATGATAAGCAGTTTTTTGTAATTTTTTCCATTTATTTCTACAATCTAACTATATTTGTATAATTCAAAATCCGAATAATCGTTTAGGAGGAGTATATTTTGCATACATCATTACAGAAGAATTTTATGTATAAGATATACATACATATATATGTGTATTAGGGTGGTCCTTAAAATGGTTATTTTCGAATTTCCTTGCTCCCAGGGGCTAAAATGGTTCCAAATTGATAAAAAACAATTCTTTGAAAGTTTTAGCTCTTAATATTAACGCTTAGATAGAGCGCAATTCAATCAAAGTTTTGTATGGAAATAGCATAGAAAAATTTTCAAAAATTGTAAAAATGTTTTTTAGATGTAATTTAGCGAACAAATGAATGAATAAAACTCATTCATTTGTCGCTAAGTTATACCTAACACATTTTTTTTAAATTTTCAAAAATTTTTCCATGCTCTTTCCATACAAACTTCGATTGAATTGCGCTCTATCTAAGCGTTAATATTAAGAGCTAAAACTTTCAGAGAATTGTTTTTTATCTATTTGGAACCATTTGAGCCCCTGGGAGCAAGGAAATTCGAAAATGACCTTTTTAAGGACCACCCTAATGTGTATATATTATATTTACCAGATCCAAGCAAAAGAAGTCGGATATTTTTTCAACAAAAGTAAATACAAATCCTGTTACATGTTTCCGTGTTCGTTCGTGCATGAAAAAACATCCATTGAACTATTTTGTTTGTAATCTTTGCTTCTGATCGATTCTGACAAAACTATTTAAAATCGACCATTTGGTAAAAAAATGGTGTAGATTTAAGATATAATAGGCGTAGTTGTTTTGAACTTGAAATGGAAAACAAACGATAGACAAATAAAAATGTTAGTTAATAGATAAATTAATTTTGTTTCAATAAAGTTATATAATTTTCATTTGTAACTAATTCTACTTAAAAAGAAATTGTTTCTTATTTTGAAATGATATAATAATTGTGAAAACAAGTGCGGGGCATGTTCGAAACTGTCATGGCGGCGGTGTTGCCTGATTGTGTAATACAGAATCTTTACAATTAGTATTGCCTGATGACACAAAAGTATCAAACAGAAATATTTATGGACACATATAGTTTGTTAAATATCAACCTGATGCAGAATTATTTAAATGGATTTTTATAATGTTTCATTTTTTGTTGTGTTTTTTGAATTTTTATTATATTTATAACATATATTTTATACATTTTTTTCTAAAAATTCTAACACTTCCATCGAGTTGTGATTTATTTTAACGGGCTAAATCATTAATAAGACTATTCATTTATAATCATAATTTAATTCCTCAAATGTAAGAGAACAAGTGAGACAGAAGAGGACAATGTCTGAAACTGTCATGGCGGCGGTGTTGCCCGATTGCTTAATATGTAACTCTTAGGGTTGTCCGATGACACAACAGTACTATATGTGTAATTATTTATAAATAAGCATATTTATCCATTTTTCACATGGGTATAATAACATTTTGTTCATTATTATATAAAAAAATGTTTTAATCGTTATATCAATATCATGCATTCCATATGTTTGTTCTATAATTATTAACCTAATTTTAATATTTTCTTGTTATAACTCAATTGTCATGTTATTTTGACTCTAATAAATGAATTTTTTTTTTGATTTTATTGCAAGATAATGAGCATGGTCCATTGCCAAATTATCCTGGCGGTGTTGCCAGATTGCGTAAGACCTACATAGTCTACTTAATGTTGCCTGATGGTACAAGAAAGTACTTTCTGATATATCTATTATCCGGGTTCATTATTTTTATTCAAAAAGATGTTACACTCGACATTTTAAATGTACTCGGACAGCTGTTGAAGTAATATGCCAGTATATTAGTAGATGAGCATTATCCGTTCATATTTCTTGCCCCCATGGTAATATATATATATATATATATATATATATATATATATATTATAACGGACAAATATAATAGTTTAGGCGAATTGTGCCGAAGTTACCCTAACACAATATGTAAGTATTGCAACGACTGGCTTAGAGGGGCAGGTGTTCGAGTCAGGGGTGAAAAATTATATATATATATATATATATATATATATATATATATAGCCTAAGCCTAAAATAAAAATAATAAATATTTAAATCACATTTATTCTGTACTTTTCGACGATGGATGTGTGTCATCTTCTGAAAGAATAATGCGAACACAAAGACAGGCGAGCGAAATTATTCAATATAGAAGACAAAATTGAAAATTAATTGTTGAAATTGAAATTGAATTGCTGAATTTTTTTAAAAACGTTTTATGATTTGAAGTCAAAAATTTGAACAGTAAAATATGAGAATAGTGAAATTTCTTCTAGTCGTGTAATGTGTCTAAATGGTTGAAAGTAATTCGTTTCATTCGTTTAGTCGTTTTCTCCTATTTTTTGTCCTAATTTTTATAAATAATAAATAATCCATCACTTCATGTAATTAAAATTAACATACATTCATTGACTGTTTGTGTTTTTGACTATTTCGCTGGCGATACAGTTCCATTCTTTCACAATCGAACCATATAGAAATGATATCATCGCGACAGTTTGGGCGTAACGCTATTTCCGTTGCATTTTCACAGATTTACTCTAAGTGGCGTCTAAACAAGTTTTTAAAAAAACTTTTAGAAAAAATAATATGAAAATAGTTAATAGAAAATTATTTTTAGAGATTTTTTTGTTTATAGACTTGTTTCGGCATGTTATCACCTATGGGAGCTGGGGGTTGGTTGTAATTTTTTTATAAATTAATATATTTTGAAATACTCTAACCCCAGGTGTGATTTTTTTACATAACAAGATAACTATTTAAACTTGTTGCTCATTTTCAAAAATTAATAAATCTGAAACAAAATAAGATATATAAAATTTAAAGTTAGTCGATAGTAATAATGCAAACAGAAGTTTTATGATAGAATATTTTTATATTATCTACCTTAAATGACGGACCTGCACAGTTCTGTTTATTAGGGGGCAGTAGCTATGACAACATTATAGAGATATACTTTTCAAAATACTTTAATTATAAATGTAATACGCATTATAAGCTAAGTGAGTGAGTAATTTTAAATTAATTTTCGCTTGAAGTTCTTTCGAAAAATTTGCAAAATCTATAAGAACTTCAACAGTCTGACCTCTTCAAAATTTGGAAAAAATTATTAGGTCAATTTTTTTACAAGTCAAGCCACCTATCAGTGTCTGTATTTTATTAATTAATTATTTAATACACTTTTAGATGCAAATTTATTTGTGCATTATAATTATTATGATTGATGCAAATTTTTCAATTTTTTCATATTTTCTGATGATGATGATGAAGTTCACATGTCGAAACATATGGAAAACTAGAGATTTTCTAAAATATCTTTTTATTCAGTGTTATGTATATATGTATACACCGCATATAGAATATATCTAATTTATCAAATAAGAACAATGTGTACAATTGTGGTTTCCGCACAGGGCACGTATGTCGGTTCACATTGCACATACACACAAATTTATATTTGTATATTTATATATTATATATATATATATATATATATATATATATATAATATATATAATATCCATTTCATACAAATTCCGCATTTATTAAGTGTCTCTCGGCATAATTCAACCGCACATTGTATTGTATTATATCGTGCCGAGAGAGTCACTTCATTATTTGTTTGTAAAATGCATTTCTACTTCGCAGAAACCGCACTTTTTGTTCTCCTCCTGCTCCTCCATGCTCCTAATATGCTCATTCTCCTTCCGTTACACCTTCATTACGATAATTTGCTTTGTAATAAAATCGTGAATAACTTCACATACATAATAATAATAATAATAAAATTGATTTGTAATGTGATTAAGGGGATTGGAATTATTTAGGCCAACGGATATATAATAGAAAATTAAAGTTGAAACTCTATAAACTTCTATAAGAAAAAAAATCATAATTTTTTTTAGATTTTTTTATTAATTGAAATGATTTTCTTTGACCACAGGTCATAGTGTGATCTGTAATATATGACAATTTTATTTTCACTTATGACAATTATTATAACATTTATTAATTGACATGTCTGTCGCCTAATGCAATAATTAATGACGGTTCGTTTCATGTTAAAACAATAGACGTTGACCTTTCCGAATGATTCATGAAGACAAGAGGAGAAGATTATTGATGACTTAATTTCTTAATTGTTCTTCGAGAGATGAATGGAAAAATTAATATTCACTAAATAAAATTAAATTAAAATTTGCACTTATTGTGGAAAACACTTTGTATGTTTCGTCTAAAATGAAGTATAAAATAAATATCAATGTTTTTTAATTTTTTTATGTATTATTTTGAATGTTTTCTTTACTATTTTTTTTATTTATTATAGTATTGTTGTGTATTGTTAATATTTTTTTTATTTAATTTTCAGGTTTCATATCGTGTACGCCATCGCCATGCAAAAACGACGGAATTTGCGTTTCAAATTCGCGCGGTGAATCCAGATGCAAGTAAGTGCTAAAAAATAATAATTATTAATAATAATAATATATATTATGAGAGGTTTAGGTATAACATGTGCGAATTTTAAGGTAATTGATGTAATTTCACATTTTAGTCACAGTACGTCCTATAGAGCTCTTTGAAGTTAGGAAAAGAAATCAATTGTAATGATTGAAACATTTTGTATGTAAGGGTTTGATAGTAAAAGTGTTAATTTTGGAAAAATTTTCAAGAAACTTTAGTGGGTATAGTACATGTAGGTTTAGAAGACATTTTAAAGTATAACATATGTGAAATTCATAGTTGTAGGACCCAAGATACGTCCTGTAGAGCTCTTTGAAGTTAGGTAAAGAAATCAATTGTAATGATTGAAACATCTTTTATGTAAGAATTTGAATTTTCAAAGTGCACTTGGTGGTAAAAGTGTTAATTTTTGAAAATTTGGCAAGAAACTTCAATGGGTTTAGTACATGCAGATTTAGAAGATGTATTAAGGAATAACATGCGTGAATTTTATAGTTGTATTAGTCAAAGTACGTCCTGTAGAGCTTTTTGAAGTTAGGTAAAAAAAATTTTAGTTTAGTTAGTTAGGTGCAACTTGGTGGTAAAAGTGTTAATTTTAGAAAACTTTGCAAAAAAGTTCAGTGATTTTAGTATTTGTTACAAAAGTAGACATATTGAGGTATATTGTTTGCAAATTTGAAGGTTATAAAGGTTCTGATACACCCTGTAGAGGCTTTTTGAAGTGATGCAAAATAATTTAGTATACTATAAATAATATAATGGTACTATAAAAAAAATTCACGACAGTTATAATCAATTCTGACATTCATGGGAAAAAACATAGAACACATGCGCTTTACTCTGTATGAGTGTTTTCAGCAAATCTTAGATGGCGCTAGTGTGCTTCAAATTCAGCGTTAGTTTCAAAACGAAGTTTCTCTACATGTAGTACACTACTATAAACTACTACCACAACTTGATAAACACGCCATGCCAAACTATATCCTGATCGACCCATAGCGTCTAAATAAGGAGCATATTGTTTATGTGACTCCTCTCTCTTAAGGGAAGTTAACAAAATATATAATTATCAATATATAGAGAAGTTGTATTTTTTGGAGAAAGTTCATTTTTCCTTTTTTAGTACTTGTATACAAACATATTGTATACACAATCAGTATTCCTTGTATATATTAAGATCATATATGATAAATAAAGTACCCACAGATAGTAGACAAATATGTATAAAAAATAACAATGTAAAATGTATGCTCAATTATTGCAATAAATACTTTTCTCTTCTTCTTCTGTCTGACTACTACTACCACTTTTTTTCATTATATATATTTTTTAACACATATCTATCATTTTGTTGAAAATATTTTATACGCGTATATTTTGTTCCCATTTTATTTAGTCAAATTAATCAAGTTTATCTTTTCTATAATTATATTTATATAAATCTTATCTGGAATTGAATCTAAGGATAAATTTACGTGCTACGGTTGGTGGCGAACTCTATGATACGTTGAAAGAATTAAAATTGATGTTATTTCAGAGCGGTCCTGTTTGTTATCTATGACACCATATGTCGGCTTGACTTGGGTTCTGGGACACCCTGTATATAATAATTGAGCTTTATTAATAACAAAGTCCATTGATCACACATTTCGATTTCATCTCGAATCTCAGCGACAAAAAAATGACAAATGAAAAGGCACAAAGGTTTCATTTGTTTTATTATTTTCATTATAATTATTTACGAGGAACATGGTAAAATATTCTTCTGGTTCAGACATTTTTCATTAAATCAAGATTTGTACTACCATGTAACCTCAAAATGTTTTTTATCTATGCCGATTTTCTTGTTGATATCGGTACGCTTACCATAGATGAATAAGCATACAATGACGTATACAACGTTGATGCCGGTACGCATACAACGGCAGATCTCTATTCACGCGACACGGTGGCTATCTCATCGAGAAAGAATGACGTACAGTTCGGGCGTAACGCAATTTCCGTTGCATTCTCACAATTTTACATCCTAGTCGCGCCTAAAGAAGTTTTACTTCAAAAATTTCACGATAGTTACAATTAATACTGTCACCCTATGTTGTCGGCTTGACGTTGAGTTCTGGGACATCTTGTATGCATTACCTATCGGGCTACAATATGAATTAATACCAAACTCCATTGATCACACACGAATTTCATCTCGAATCTCAGCGACAAAAAATAAAGTGTTTATACATATAGTGTGTGCGTACACCATTGTCTTTATCCACTTCGTTTTTTTTCGTTTCTGTCCGACCGAATAGTAGAAGTAGAGGTGTGTAATCGTGAATGCTTTTAGAGACCTTTATGTGTACCTTGATTCTTCTCATTCCATTTATTCGTTTATTGTTTAAGTGCGTTCGGGAGGCGGGCGAATACCTCCGATGCATCAGCACTAATAACAGGTCTTTGGTAAGCGCCACTCGCAACAATAACCAACTCTTCGGCGACTTGGATGGACTGCCATTCCATCTTGCACGCCAACAAACAACATAGATATAGAAATAGATAGAGAGCTAGTGGACGGAAAAGACTAAGGGATCAATTCTCGAATATAATAGTAATGTTAAGGGGGGAGCCTGCTTTAGAGACTTCAAAAAATCGCTTTTTTTGAGGAATTTTTAGAGAAGGAAATAAATATTCAAGTGGAACGAAACTTTCAGGTTTTATTGTCATATATTTCAACATTCTTTTCAAATTTTTTCATTAAAATATATGTCATAATATGCAGGTTACAAGCATTTTACTGATGCGCCACGAGTGTGCCGGTGCTATAAAAAAATCATGTTTTTTGATACAAAATTTCACTTCAGATTGTTTAAAAAGTGGATTAATTATAACATTTTTTTAAGTTTTTTTAGGTTCAACTAGAATAGAATTTTATCCTGAATACACAATCAATTTTACTTCGTTTCCATAGGACGTTCAGTTTTTTTGGTATCTTTCCCGACAATTAGGAAGAATCGAAAAAATTAAAAACCGAGAAAACGTGCGTCGTTGTTTTAGTTCCGGTTTAGGGATATATTCTTGGCTAATTTTGAAAGACATTTTTGCAAAAAAATATATCGATTTTTTTAAGCCTCTAAAGCACGCGCCCCCCTTAAATTACCGAAAGACATGAAGGTCAAATAACGATTTTATCATACTTGCAACTTTCTGATGTCACTTTGATAACACATACGTGAAGTTTAACCAAAGTTTAGATTTAAAAGTTAACGCCTAGCGTTTTGACCATTCGTTACCAATATAATATTTCTATTCTCCACGAAAGTTGGCCCATAAAGGGTTATTTAGATTTAAAATATTTGGCATTTTTAACTTTCCGAAGGAGAAGTTTTCTAATTTTGCTAATTTTATGTTTACTCGACGTTTCAAGCCATTCTAAATCGAATGAGACCAAATTTAAGGGAAAAGTATGTATGTTTGTGTGTGAACAGATTTTTTGCTGTAAATCGACTTTTTCTCAAAAACGGCTGGACGAATTTCAAACATTTAAGCCGATTTTTATGGAACTTTTTTGGCGATATATATCATGGTCTTATAGAACTTACTGTAATATTAAGGCCCTACGACAAGTAGTTTAATTTTAAAAATCCATCAAAGTTTGAGAAAATGAGTAGTTTTTTTGATGAAATTTAGCTAAAATTAAAATTAGACGATTCACTTGGTATAACAATAGAGTACTTGGTTTTAATGAGCATACTAAATCATTAAAGTCCTACGGAAGCTGGTTCAATTATATAAATTGTTGATTTTTGAAAATTAGCTTTTAGAAAATACTCCGAGTTAACGTGTTCGTTTGTTTTCAATTATGTGTAATAAATCCACTCGGAATACTTTTAATCACTCATAAATTAATTTATTTTTTATTGATTAAGTCGATTATTCAAACATATCGGGAAGTTCATATAACTTGTCTCTAGGCAAAATACCAATACCAACTAGTTTGGATTTGAAACTTACTGGACTACTGAGTAGTTTTGATAATGGTGTTATGCCATCTGGCAACTTTGAGAACGTATTCAATTTTTGATAGCCTTGTAGCAAACCAGAACAGGTCCTATTGCCATTCCGGGCATCAGAAAGGAACCTAATTTATCCAATTTTTTGCAAATTTAAATATTGAGCTGGGTAAACTTAAATTTATAGCCCATGCCTGTAATTGGAAAAGCTCCTATTGTAGCAATTTACCAGTTTCTTCATTTTTATCAATTTACTTATTTTAATGGCTATTTTATATTTAATTTTGAGATTCAGTATTTTCATTACAGATATCAATTAAGCTGCTCTGATTTAACATTATTATCTGATATATCATTAGTAGAACAAATCTTCCTCTCTTGTTCTCATAACAAATTTTAGTTTGCTCTTTAGTAGAGTCCTTGTAAACACCCGGAGTAATGTTTATAATAAAAGTTATTATTAATTTCACTGATACACCGAAGGACCAGATATATTTTATTACTAGGGTATAACAAACCTTTCAAATTAACTAATTAAAAATTATTAATTTAATATATAATTTGTACTTCTTTGTGAGATTTGTATTGGTCAAGGTTCACGTACAAAATGAATTTCTTAAATCTAGAAATGTACTTAGAGCATAAAATCATTTTATTGCTTCTAGGTAGAAAAATATTTTTTTAACATTTTAACTTACAAATTAATTTACTCATTAAAATTTTTTTATTATTCTGAGATTTAGTTTGTTTGTCAGTAGAATCCTCTTCTTTTCGATGACCAGTTGTGAAGCATCTTAAGATTCTTTTCCCAAGCACTTGAAAATAAATAATATATATATATATATATATATATATATATAATGTGTGTATATGTGTTTGTGTAACATAGATTAGATATTATAATATTTCACGGAAAACATGAGGTGAAAGTTGATGGGAAAATATTTGTTAGTAATTTCCGCAAGGCACTTTATTGGTAAATCATT